TTAACTGAAGTATGAGCCGAACAGTTGTCTACAATCAGGATTATTTCTGCATTATCAGGTAAACCAAACAAATTCTGCTGAGCCTCGGTTATGAAATGATTTTCAAACCAATCAACCATTAATACTTGTGTCCTCTGTGTTCTTTTATTTGCACAATATATAACAGGAAACCTTTTACTCTTTTAAATATTCAAGGTTGTGTATTTTTTCCGATTACAAAAGGTTTACATTTGTGCGTTCCTGCCACTTTTATATGTACTAAAATTGTGGTCTCGCTTGGGAATCTTTGACACGAGTTGGAGCCCTTTCTATAGAGATTGCGAAGATATTTTGTGGTACATATTGCCAAAAAAGACCAGCTTCATCAGCATTGTAAATATGTGTAGCTGATAACTTTTAACTACTATTGAGTTCAATGAATTCATCTGCAAATAGTTCAGCAGCTTCAGTATCCGCTGAAGCTTTTTTCCCTGAAATTCTTAATCGCCCTACACCATGGCAATTTTTAAATTTGTTTAACCAACGTTCACTCGGTTTTTAAGTTAATTTCTTAGTGAAATATTTTAGCTTGCGCCATTAGCATGTGACCCCTCAACAGCACGCCCTCGCTGCAATACTGTCTGGCCCATTCAATAATCACTTTGTCATGATCTTCACTTTTAAAATAACGAATAATTTTTTCTGTTATTTGTAGTGAGGAGTGTTGGAATCCACAAAAAATTCAAAAAGTTCCTTTTTCTGTTTTCTTATGTCATTTACAGTTGACTATCCAGTGCCATTCTCCTTGCATAATTTTTAGACAGATATACCTTTATTCATTTTTTACAGCAGTTCCACTTCTTGTTTAATGGACATTGAAACATGCTTTTGCTTTGTAGATCCTGCTGCAGCTCCAGAATTAGAAACTCTTCTTGACATGATCGAAAATTGAAACTTTTATTTCATCAAATTGCTGTAAAAAATAATTAAGCTGGGTCAAATCAGAGTGTTAAGGAACAGTGCAATCTGCTATATTGTCGGAAATTCCTTGGAATCAGTAAAGTATAATTTTAGCCCAGCTTAATAACATCCACTATACATTATTAGCTATGTGTCATGAGATTGGCAACAAAAGGCAAGTTGTTCCAGTAAATTTTGTCTTTCTTCTATCGCACACTGAGACAGTTAAGCCTGATTGTATTAGTTTAGTTATTTATTATACTTACGTCTATTTGTTGCACATGCTTAACGCATATCTGAATCCTGACAATATAAATTTCCACATCAAGAGTCCTGAATAAACAAATTCCCACACTTATCGAGGGTCAGCGGTAGGTATCTTACCGTCTGATGCAGGCTCTGGGGGTCCTAAATTCTGCTGCCAAATGCTTCTCTAAGTTTTAAATTTTTGCCACCCCTAAATTTTGGATCCCAGTACTAACTCTAAATTCTAAAATTATTTTCATCCTTTAATTTTGTCGCTCGTTGCTTCTCTAAATTCCAAAAATCTTGTCTTCCCTAAATTCTGCCACCCAGTGCGGCCATGCGAGCTCTAGCGCTGCTTCTGGGTTTATGTGAAAAGCAAATAAGTTATTCTTAATTCAAATAGTGCTAAATGTAATCTTTTGGCTTATGAGTATCATTAGCAAAATCTATTTTTAGCATATGGAAATAAATTTTTGTTAAATTTTTCTTCATCAGTATTTCTTAGCACATTTAACTTAAATCTGTAGTCATTGCCAAGTGTAATAATGTCAACATAAAAGGTTACCATATTCCCTTTGTACTAATAATAAAAAGGTTTGGACATCGCTGCATTAGTCATTACTCAAGTTTTCATGTATTGATAAGCATGTGATGATGAAAGCAAAGTATAATAAATAATGATTCCCCAAGTTTGCATCAGGGATATAAAATAAGTTGGGGTTTGATAAGTAGGATAGATGTTTGCAATGACATTTCTATGTAGAATGTTTTTGTTTGATATGTATGCCAAGCATATAGCTAGAGCCAAATTATTGATCACTCAAATTTATGCTAAATTATTGTTTCTTCAATAACAAGGTATTTATTTAGGGCCAAATGGAAATTAAGAATCAGGACTCTCTATATGTTTTATCTATGGGGGAAAAAATGAAATGCGCATGCGTAAAGCATTAAAAAAAAAGTTGGTGCTGGTTTTGAGGTCCGGATTTTAGATCATTTCAGATATTGGGGATATTGGACATCTGGATCTCGGACTTTGTACTGTATTAGCGAAAATGTCGCCAAAAATTCAGGGTGAATATATTTTCTGACTTTAAACTTCAGTTGCAACAGTGTTTATCATATCTTGAAATAAATGCAAAAGACATCTTACAGAATCCATTTGACTGTACAATTGAGAAGCTCAAGTCAGACCTTCAGTTGGAAGTGACTGATCTGAAAAAGGATGATATGCTTAAAGTAATATTTAACAGAATGGATAGCTCAGTTCTATAATATCTTGGAAGATACATATGGTCAGTTAAAATTATATGTACAGGTATTTATACCTGTATTTGGGAGTATTTAACAGTGTGAAAAGACATTTTTATAAAAGAATTATGTAAGTTGCAATACAGATCATTAGTAACAGATGACTATTTGTAGCCAACTTTAATAATAGGAGGTACTAACTTTTCTGGTTTAACTCTCTCTGAATTTTCTCAGAGAAAACAATAGCATTCATAACTTTGGTTCAAAATTTAATTTGTTCTATAATACATTTATTAATAAATGGAAATAATTTATGGCCGACCAAGCCCAAAATTTTTATTATATGGCCTGTTCCAAAAAATAGTTTCCACTCCTTGATGTAGATTAACAGTTTTATGCTACTAAGTTTTCCTGTCGTGTAGGTAAACTTCAGTTTGCTTCTGTTACTCTAAAACAGGTTGCACACAATCTGTGAAGTTTAACTATTCTATAATTTCAGGAAAGAATGCAGTCAGCCTGACTCCATCTGCTTCCCACTGTACCATTAAAAATAATCAAAATCTATATAAATGTATATGTGTTTTTCAAGTTTTGGAAAGTAGGAGGAGTTATCTTCTAACATCAGTGAAAGGGGTACTTGAGGTGAAAAAGTTTGAGAACCACTGAACTGAAACAAATAGTGAGAGACTGAAACATTATTCACCCTTCTTAGATATAGACATGAATAGCATGAAGGTGATCCTGTTTGCTGGCTGATTCTCTGCTCTACATATTCTGTTTTCCTTCTGTGCTTTTAGCATGTACATAATTAATTACAGCTATCTAATAACTGTATGGATTTTGTTAACTGACACTTAATTCAAATTAATGCTAGTGAAGAGTCAGATTTTTCTCTTTGATATGTAGCACTGATGATGTTTGTTGACAGGAATAATATTCACAAATGCTTCAATGTATCTTTGCTTTTCATATGCTTTTAAGGAACATCAAGAACTTTTGTAGTGAGTTATCAAAAACTGATGGAGCTACTGAAAATTATTCTCAGTGGATTCCATTCTCTCCTGCCACACCGCCCCCTCCTTGCATTTGAAAATGTTCCTTACTGGAGCATGGTTTGATAGTTAGAAACAAGAAGTGCGGGATTGGCTGAATGGATATGTAGCAAATTTGTTTTAGAGAGGAGTAGAAAAATTTATGTGGTACGCCTTAGTAATAGGAGGAATGTGTAGGGAAATGCTCTGAGGGGTTAGAGAACAAATCTTCTTTCGTGTTTTTTATTATTATTATTATTATTATTATTATTACAGAGCTTAATTTCTGAATGTGCTGTGTTTGTATGTCTTAAAGTAAATCAGCCTGAAACTTCATAATGAAAAATAAATTTATGTAGTAATTTATGCAAAGTGTATGCTTATTATACCCATTTCTGATATTTGTATTTATTATGTCTTGCTCATTTTGATTTTTGAGTTATATGTGGAGCAGCATTTGTGTAGAAGCAAGTAAATTTTGAATTCATTTTTTTAAATCTGTTATTTCAGTCAAAAAGTGGGTTTTACATAATTTATTGAGTAATTTAAGCTTTCATATCACATGCATGTATAAAGTTATGCATTATTTAAAACATAAAGAAGATATGCTTATAACAAAAGCTTATATTTTTGTTGTGACATCAGAATGGGCAGCTAGCAAAATTGTCTCACCGATCTTTGCTCACTTCTGTGTGTTCTTCACGTGGCAGAAGCTATTAAAATATGCTAGTTCTCATTTTTATAAAAGATTGTATTAATATTAAAACTGAGTAATTTTGTTCTATCTGTTTTTTTTTTTTTTTTTTCCACAATTTTATTATCTACTGCTCCTTTTGTCTCTTGGAGTAATTGTTTTAAATATATAGTAGCAGTTTTCAAAGTTTTCACTGGACAGAACTTGAATTAAAATTCTTTGCTTTAAAAATTATTGCTGTTTATTTTAAGTATAGAATGGGTACAGAGGTAAGCAGGTGTATGAATCCATTTTTACGCTGTCAACCTTTGGATAATCGGTTTTTCCCCTGCATTTGGGGGGGGGGCATTATTTATTTTTTTCTTTTTTAAATGGTGCTTAATGTACTGCATGGTAGTTTACATTCATTTGCTATAATGCTATAATGCATTCTTTATCTGACTTTTCCACTTTTTATATAATTTATGACTTCATAGCAATAATTATTATTTTTTTATCTTAGTTTCTTGTTTTAATCTTGCCCCCCCCCAAAAAAAAAGTCTTAGTTTTTTTTCATGGAGCATTTATTATGAATTTACTCATTACCTTAAAATAACTAACTCTTAAGTGTAATTCAGTGTTAATATTTGAAATTCAGTATGGGCAATAATTCAGTATAAATGTGTTTATTACAAGACTTTCACTGTATTATTATTCATTGTGTAAAATGTTAAATAATGTAGCTTTAATTAAAATTATGCAATACTCTTTTAAAAATATGCAAATGCTTGTTAACATTGTGGCAGTTTTCCATAATAATGAAGGTACTGCAATATTAAATAATGATTTTTTTTATTTCTATGTTATTTGCAGGTTCAAAATCACTTAGTAGCTTCCCCAGCCATAAATCTCAAACTCCCTGCAGTCCTATACCAAATTTAAGATCTGATTCTTATGGAGGCTCTACATCAAGTTTGCCAGATATCAGAACTGGGTAAATAGCTGATTTTTTTTATTCTTGTTGAAATCTAAAGCAGATAATTTATTGTGTATTTAATATATGTATTTTTTAACCTAGAGTACATTTCTTGAATGCTTTTTCTTCTGTTATTCTTTATTTCATTTATAACAAGTTAATGTTTATAAAAATATGTTATTTCGTAAACAGCAATAAGAAAAGAAAATTTAAAAACTGAACTCTTAAAACCTGGAAATCATAATTTTCATTAATTTTAATATATAAGGAACCTCTGAATAATTAAATTAACCTCAAGTGTTTTTCTTGCCACCGGTTGCTCACAGAGCTAAAAATGGAATGCATTATTAAAATCTCATGCTAATTTTTATGTTATGTTTACTTAAGTAATTATCCTTTTTCACTTGTAAATAGGTAAAACAGCTATAAACAAATGCAATTGACAGTAAATGTCATATTCTGATTCTATTTTTATCTCTGTTTAATAATTTCCTTTTATTGAAACATTGGCATAATATTGATTATTATAAGTAAATGGCCTTGCTTATGTAAATTTGAAAAATTCTTTCCTGGTATACTACCAAAATATATATATATATATATATATATATATATATTCTTTCTTTTTAGCAATCGTCCTAGAAATTATGGTAGCAAAGAAAAATTATCCGAAAAGGTACTTACAAAAAAATCTAATTTTTCAAATGGTAAGTTTATACTTTTGTTATTCTGTACAATAAAATATTGTTACTCATTTTTGTTTAATTGGTCAAGAAAATTTTGTACCAAAGCATAATGAGAAAAAATTGGCATTGTATCATTTTAGACATCTTTTTTGCGACAGAAGTGACATGAAAAATTTTCCTAAGATATACCACACTCTTAAATTGCAAATTACTCAGTTTACTGTTGGCCAGGAACTTAGTCATTATACATATCACATATTAATTAAAATTTTCTTTGATTAGAATTATGGAATTTTCACATTTAGTAAGTTAACAAGAATGCTGTCTGAATTAATGCAACCTTTCGCATTCAGTTTTATTTTGAGTATATTGCATTATAGTGGATTCTAACTGTAAGTAAAAGCTATCTTAATAGGATACATCTAAAATTACTTTTCTGTTTTCAACATATGTCAAAATAACAGCGTGTTTGCTATTGTAATAAATAAATAAATAACACGATCTTTACTGTTGCAAATGAAGTTGAATTTTGGATATAAACATATCGGGGAAATAGGTGACATAGCTTGGAAAGGAATGAAGATTCTTCTTTTCACACCACAAAACATTTAAGAATTTCAACAGATTAAAGTAAAACAGTTATTTATCACCTTGTCACACTAGTTAAACACAAAGAAATTTTTCATCACTTGATGTTTAATTAGTCTTTTGGCTCCTTCTTGCACTCACAGAATCAGAACAAAAGTCAAGACCTGCCACCTTCACGTGGCTGGACCAGGCTTATTGTCGACATTGCTTTCTCTCAGGTCTGCAGGCAATGTTCTCAGTGTTGTGTAGAGTCTTCTGGTGGCTGCAAAACTTAATGTTTCCACAACTCGGCATTCTGACCCACGTTTTCGGTGACCACGTATGTTTATTGGTTATTAGCAGCTTCGCTGCCAGCCTTCGTTTAGCTTTTAAATGTACCGGGAAAATGGCTGAAGGGAGCACCAAACATTAAATTTAAAAACTGCATAGAATTTTACTCTGCAGAAAAACTTCATAAAAAAAGTTATTACGTATAACAAAATTTACAATGAAATAAGCAATATCCCTTAATACAAATATTAATTATCTAATAAATAAATTAACCAACTTTCCTTTGCAAAATCTTAAGAACTCAAATGGTATAAAGGAGGTTAAGAACTTTGTTTCCTAAAAAAAATCACTCAAAACTTTTCAATATCTTAAAAAATGAAATGAGCAATAAAAACAAATAAACATAAAAGAATACAAAAAACAAAAAATTCTGAAAAGCAAAGTATAATTAATGATATTTTATCTTACATTTTCAAGAGAAAAAAGAATTTCAATGAAATAAGCTATATCCCTTAATACAAATATTAATTATCCTAATAAAAAAATTAACCAATTTTCTGTTAAAGAAAAAAAGTCATGCAAAACTTTTCAATATCTTACAAACAGTGAAATAAGCAAAAAATAACATGAAAGCAACTCAAAAACATAAAATTCCGTGCAGAATTTTACTCTACAAAACAACTTTATCAATAAAAATGTATTATATATATATATATATATATATATATAAATGGCAATGAAATATCCCAATCTCTTAAAAACAGTGACATAAGAAATACGATGAAAATTTGTTGCCAAAATCGCATTTTTAAAGATGTGAGATGTGAGAAGTGTACTCGGAAGTTTCTTTTAAAAATACAAAATATTATCATTATTCCAAAATTCTTTTTGTAAAAGCAGTCGCAAGGATGAAAGTTTAACATGTCCAAAAATCAAAGAAAAATAAACAGTACATATTTTAAAATGAACTTTTTTCGAAAATATCCCATTGAAAAGGTGTTAAGCTCCCTTTGTTAAATAAATTCGTATTTAATCGATTTATTGAAACACAAAATTTATTTTAAGTTCGTAAAATAGCTAAGTGCCTATGTTTCATGACATGTGAAAATGGAGTGTGTAGAGTAAAATCTCGCTTTCCTATAGCCCATTATGTCTCAAAATGACGCGATTTCGTCACAAAACATAAAATAAAAAAATTCGAATTCGAATTTCGAAAAAATCGCTTCGAGGTGCATTGGCTCTTTTCTAGATGCACCTATGCACCAAATTTCGTAGCCGTGGGTCTATTAGCTTATGCGCAGCACGAACAAAAGACACAGACAGACACTTTCTTTTATTATATGTAGAGATTATTCTGGAGAGATTGCCGAAAGTTTATTGTTGTAGTTTCAGCTTCTGTAGTGCATCTTGGGCTGATGTAGACTTCACTGGGTAAAGCCATATGAACTTTTTAAATGTGTCAACAATGGTCAAAATATGATTGTAGTTCCTATTTGTTCAGCAAGCCCTTACCTCGTTTCTTGTCGCGTAAAATGCACTCTACACAATTCGCGATAGCTTGTTAAATTTGTCTTATAAGGTTAGGAATATAAAAGTCCATCTTCAGCAGATCTTCCATTTTAGACATTGCGAAGTGTCCCTTATTATTATGGATATTATGTATGATTTCTAGCTGCATTGCTTTGGGCACCACAGGTAATTTTCGAACATTGTTGAACCTGTATGATACACTATTTTTCGCTATGTGCTCTTCCTTCAGCCCCTACTTGACTAAGGATTTTAGCAATTGGAGGTGCTCATCACTTCTTTGCACAGCTGCAGTTTTAGCTGTAACTTCTGCCTGAGAGTGGATAACCATCATGAGAGCATTTCTACTCATTGTGTTGACATGCTTCATTTGCTGTACAAATCTGTGAATGATTTCATAGACAAATTCTTCTAGAAATAATGCCCATCTTGCCACTTTAGGAATAAAATCTTTCTTGAGCATAGTCTTCTGAAAGATATCACAATCAGTAATTATTTTGACCTTGGATCACAAGAGGTGATTCCTGAATTTTTTTAAAGCTTCTGATATAGATAAAACTTTGAGCTCATAACTAGATAGCTTTTCTTGCTGGAGGTTAGTTTTTTTCGTCATGAAGTGAATTGGGTATAACTGTCCATTTTGGGTCTTTTGTAGCAAAACAGTGCTGAAACCATGACTGCTTACGTCTGTATGCAGTTCTAGTAGGGCATCTTGTTTGAAAATATGAATAACAGGGCTTGTTAATAGAATTTCTTTGAATTTGTTAAATGCATCTGTTTCCTAAGGCCCAAATTTGAATTTTATTTCATTATGAAGGAGGTCTATCAGTGGTTTGGCTGTTTTCAAATAGTTGGCGATAAATCTTCTGAAATATCCCATTACACAAAAGCTCTGAATTTGCTCAAGGCTTTTGGGCTATAGGAAATTTTGAATAGCTATGGTTTTTTCAGAAGAGGGGTGAGTTGTGCCATGCCTTTGATGATATTTTCTAAATTCCGTGATACTGGTTCAGAATCTGTAATCACAGGACATTTGGAATTTTCACCACCCAATTGTAGCTTCAGTTTTTGGACCTCAGTTTCCTTCTCAAGCTGAGTAACTTAATTCTTTCACACACTATTTTTGACTGCTTTTCAATTTCTTTGTACTTTTTGTCATCTGCAACCATTTTAATAGTTTCACAAACAAATTCAGGGTTAGTTTTGTAAATATTAGCATTCTCAAAGTTTTGATTTCAATAACTTTTGCTTCAGCCGATGCTATTAGGCCTAACTCTTCTGCAATTGTTTTTAGATCTTGTTTTTTAATAGTGTTTAGCACTCTCATGATTAAAATAGTAAATTGACATAAAACAGTACTTTAACCTTGTCTGTTTCTTTGTGGTATCCTGGCTGAGCCCACAGTTTTCTGTCGTGAAAATAGTTGACATTGGTCGGAAAGGAATTAGGATTCTTCATTTTATACTACAGAACATTTAATAATTATAACAGATTACGGTAAAATAAAACAATAACGGTCCGAGAAATTTTGCATCACTTGGTGTCTTCTTGTGCTCACGGAATCAAACAAAAGTCGTCGATAGCCGCTACCTTTATGTGGTTTGATCAGTCTCATCATCGACATCGCTCTCTCTCAGGTATGCAGATCTCATAGGGGCCTCAGGTAGCTGCCAAGCATAGCACTTCCACAAACATAGTATATAAAAGATGTGGAATTCCTCTTTATCGTGGAATAAGTTTGGTAGTCTTCAGGGTGATGTAAATGTGTGATAATCCAAACAAATTATTAATTGGATTTTCAGATACATATGAAGCAGTGAAAAAAAAAAAAAATTTCTAGATGATTTCTTTCATCTAATAAAAGTTGGACGTCTTTTCATTCTTGTACAGTGTCTTGCTTGCACATCTTTGTTCATGTTATCATCACATCCTCTGTTCTCTTTCAATTTCATTCAGTGGTATGGAGCGCTATCTATCTATCATGGAATATTACATCTTTGTCAGTCCTGACAATATGTGTTCTCTCATGCTGGAAAGGTGATCATCATCATCAGCAAATTTGGAAAAATTTTAAAAACACCTGAGAGAGAAAGAGAACTTTAGATTGCACTGAGGGAAAAGTTGTCTTAGATGATTTAGTCAGTCATCTTCAGTCATCATCTTATCATCTTTAGAAATAATGGGCTTTATCTCTTCTTCAGTGCTTTAACATTTTCTGAGTACACCCTTCTGGATATGCCTTCATAAGTGCAACTTGTTAAATATCATCTTCATTAATATATTTTATCTTTAGACAGCCTCTTGATTCTACTTCAAACCAATAATAATTTGTCAAGTTGGGAATAAGTCTATATCAGGAATCATCAAAATTGGTTTTTCACTATCAAAGATTGTCTGTCCGTGACTTATTCCGAGGTAAGTGTCAAAATGCGGAATTCCTCATCATCATGATATTCTCGTTATAGAATAAGTGTTAAGTTTGATAATCTCCTGGAAACATACGATAAGCCAAATGAATTATTAACTGGATTATAATGAAGATTTTCAGATACATATGAAGCAGGATGAAAATAAAAACAGGAATGAATATTTACAGATGATTTGTTTCACTAAATAAAAATTGGATGTCTTTTCAT